CCCTACAAAAGGCAGGTTCCTTAGGGTCCAGGTAGTGTTTATGCACTTTTAGCCTACCAAACCCTACTTTTTTCTAGGTTCTTATTTATGAACCCCAATATAGAGTTTATAGGGACCCTACAAAAAAGTAGGGTTTGGTAGGTTAAGGTAACCCAGAAGACCCCTCAACCCTAAACCTTTAAACCCCTAAACCCCCTAAACCCTGTAAACCCTAAACCCTACACCCTAAGCGTTCTAGAGCGTTTATGTAACCCAGCAGACCCCCTCAACCTAAACCCAGAGACTGCAATATTCCTGAATTAAGGAATAGTCCTTAAATCATAATAGGATCCCTAATATGATTTAAGGACTATTCCTTAATTAAGGGATATACCTTAAATCATATAAGGGATCCTGTTATCTTTTAGGGTATATATTCCGAAGCTAAGGGATCTTGGAGTCCCCTAACCCCTGAACCCTATACATCCCTTAAAGGATCCCTTAAAGGGACCTCTATAGGCCCTAGGTATATTCCTTAATTAACGGATCTTGGAGTCTCTGTGTCCGAGGCTTCAGGCCGCCGCCGGGCCTCTTCCCATTCCGCTCTGATGCGCATAGGGCGACGCGGTTTAGGGGTTTAGGGTTTAGGATTTAGGGGTTTAGGGGTTTAGGGTTTAGGGTTTTAGAGGTCTAGGGTTTTAGTTTAGGGCTTTAGTGGTGTAGGGTTTTAGTGTTTAGGGTCAGGGCGTAGGTTTTAGAGAAGGGCTCGAGCAGGGTCCAAGGTTTAGGGTGGTGACGCGGGCTTCTGATGCTGGAGGCAAGGTTCTTTAGATTCATGACTTCGAATGAATCTTGTGGGGGTCTAGGCGCCGGTAATCCCTCTTGCGGTCAGGGATGGATATTTTATTGTCTGCCGCGAGGAGAAACGGCGAGAGCTGTGACGTGCTGCTGAGGATTTTCACCAAGACCTAGAGAGCCCAATACCCCTTCATTAAGGAATATACCTTAAATCATGAGGGGCTTCATATTATGATTTAAGTTATATTCCTTGCTTAGGGGGAACCCTAAACCCTATCGATCCCTTAAAGGGACCCTGGGCCCGAGGTATTCCTCAATCAAGGGGTATTGGGCTCTCTGGGGACTCCATTATCCTCAGCTCTAATCCTGAACCCGTAGGCCCAAACCCTGAGCCAGAAAGCCAGGCGAAGCTCTGAAGGTAAGCCCTACTTAAAGGATCATGGAACTTAGTAAGCAGGTTAAAGCCCTACTTAAAGGATCATGGAACCTAGTAAGTTATAAGTCCCCTAAGTGGGGTATCCTAATTATAACCTACTTATAACCTTACTTACTAAGTCCCATGAGCCTTCAAGTAAGTACTGAGCCGCCTTTCTATGAAGGCCTCAATCTTCGGATCCTTACTCTAAGCCTTGTTAAGGGAGGAGGGGCTTGTGAATCAGGGTTCTATTTTGCATACCTCTGGACTCCTCGGCTAGTTCCCCAGAGAGCCCAATACCCCTTAATTAAGGATAACAACTTCCTTTTTGATTTAAGGTATATTCCTTAATTAAGAGGTATTGGGCTCTCTGGGTCTCTAAATCTAGGGTTCCGATTTTAGTTCCAGAAGCACTGCGGCACCCTCACAAAAAAGAGACTAAAAGGGAGAGTTTCCCGAAACTAGGGGACCCCAATACAGTATCCTAAATAGTAGGATCCTTATTATGAGGACCCCAAAATAGGGCACCCCCAATTTGCGGAAACCCCCATTTAGAGAACACCCCAAATGTTGGCGATTTCCAATTAAAGTCCCTAGCCCCAGCCTGAAGCCCCAAACGCACAACCGATTGAAGGATTGGGGCTCACCAGAAGGGAGTTTCCTCATTATTTGGGGTCCTTATTTAGGGTACTTTATTAAGGTCCCTATTTTCGGAAGTCCCCATAACGGTGTACTTTATTAGGTCCCTCTTTTCGGAAATTTCCATAACGGTTCGATCATCGTTCTGTAGGGGTTCTGTAGTTGTTCGCCAGCCTCTGAATCTGAAGCCCCAGAAGTTGAGGGTTTGTGGCTTCGACCCTTAAATCTGACAAAAGGCAATGCAAGCTCGTCGTAGCTAGTGGTAGAGGCCGCTGGAGCAGCGGCAGCGATCCGCTACAAAGTGCAGAATGATAAACCCCCAGGGCCTCTAAACCCCAATCCCTGAACCTCCGATCGCCAAACCCTAAACCCGCAACTTTAAATCCCCGTCCCCAAACATAAATCCCTAAACTGCAGTCTCCTGAACCTCGAAACCCTAAACACCTGAAACCCCTAAGCCCCTATACTACCCTTATAGCTAACCCTTATAGAGCCCCTTAAAGGAACCCCCGAAACCCCTAAGCCCCTACAGCACCCTTAGTAACCCTTCTAGAGCCCCTTAACGGAACCCTTAACGGAACCCTTCAAGCCGAAAGCCCTAAGCCCCTATAGTACCTCGACCTGCCGCCTTTCTCGTCTGACCACCGCTATCTGAACGAAACGAAGTGTGAGAAGCTCGGCAAGAAATGCGCATTTATTCTTCGGGGATTCACGAACAAACCCGAATATGGCGAACGCACTCCCAATGTGAATATTCGCCGCAGTGACCTGTCTCTCGACTGGGATGAATTCATTGAAGCCTTGAGTCAAATCTGGCACGGACTCCGAGTCTCCCAGATTTTTGAGGTTTTCAAAACACCGGTTGATGGCAAGGCCAGGTACGAGGTCTTTATCCAGAAGCACAACAACCAAGAGTTTGATGTGCTCAGAGCCCGTGCCATTCACGGCCACTGGTCAGGTTTGTTCTCTGATGACACTGAGCTCGCTGACATCCACTCCGTGGTGCACTCGTTTGTGCCATGGGACGCCAGTCTAGCGACTCCCTTATAGTAACCCTTCTAGAGCCCCTTAAAGGAACCCTTAAAGGAACCCCGAAACCCTTAAATGAAACCTTAAAGGAACCCTTAAAGGAATTCTCGAAACCCTTAAAGGAACCCTTAAAGGAACCCTTAAAGGAATCCCGAGACCCCTTAGCCCCAATCTTCCGCCCCGCAGCCGTGGCCTCTCCGACCTCCGACGCGCTGTGATCCCCTTTGGAGCCATGGCCCCGACCCGTGCCCCGGGGGTGCCTTTAAGGGGCTTTTTAAGGGCTACTAGAAGGGTGGGTTCCTTTAAGGGGCTCTTTAAGGGCTACTAGAAGGGTGGGTTCCTTTAAGGGGCTCTGTAGGGCTACTATCTGGGTGGGTTCCTTTAAGGGTTCCTTTTAAGGGGCTCTAGAAGGGCGACTAGAAGGGTGGGTTCCTTTAAGGGTTCCTTTAAGGGGCTTTAGAATGGCTACTAGGGTGGTTCCTTTAAGGGTTCCTTTAAGGGGCTCTAGAAGGGTTAGCTATAAGGGTACTAGAGGGGCTTAGGGGTTTCGGGTTTTGGGGGATTGGGGTTTAGGGTTTCTGCGGTTTAGGGCGCCAGGGTGGTTTCAGAGCTCAGGGTTTGGGGTCTGCGGTTCAGGGTCATAGCACAACCTGAACTCCTACAGCAGCCCCAACCCTTCTGATTCTGTTGAAGCTTCCGGCAGCCAGGTACTGCCAAGCGTGCTGCCGAGCACGCGCCTTTGAACGGGTCCATGAAGCGCTCCTTTCCCCCTTTCGATGACATGTACTAGGATGCCCAGTAGTACCCTTATTCCCTTTTTTAGTCCCAGGTTCCTTATTAAGTTACCCAATACCAAAAAGGGAGCCCTTTTTATGCCTAGGTTACTGGGCATCCTAGTATACAGACAAATCATGCTCTGGATCCCTACAGAGGTAGGGTTTAGGGTTTAGGGTTTAGGCTTTAGGGTTTATGGTTTAGGGTTTAGGCTTCATCAGGTCCAGGTAAACCCTA